GGTGACTAGTCGACTATCAAAATAATCGTTTGTGGCAGCCCTACCTTCCATCTATCCCTTTTCTTTTGTTTATCTGGGGCTGGGTAGCAGGGGGAGGAAACCTAAGCAGAGAAGCCCGGACCTCCCTCTGAAAACACCTAAATTCAAAGATTCAGAGGTGTGGACCAATACTTTAGTATTATCCACCTATATCTGTCATGGTTCCGGGTCTTTGACCCAGTGTTTTGTATTTCTGATTATGTTTATCTCTAGTGATTCAGGTTTATTTTAGGTTATTTGGTTTCCTTCAGCATTTCCATTTCTATCTTGTCCTCTGTGTGTTGTCTCACCCTTACCTGTTCCCACATTCTTCCCTCTGTGTTTCATCCTTTGTCTCCCCGGTCTGTTGTGCGTTTCCATGTTTGTTTATCCCCATATTAGAGTCAAGCTCCCATGTCCTTGTCTGAGTCTCGGTGTTCGTGCTACTTCTTGTTTTATTTTGTTAGGCCTTACTCATGTGCATTGTGATCAGTTTTGCGTCCCCTGTCTCATTATGTTTATTTGTTCCTGCTATGTTCCCATGTGTTTCCACTTCCCTAATCTTCTCCTTCTATATATATTGTCTCAGTCTCCGCTCATCCCACATTGGAGTCTCTGTTTATCTATCTGTGTCTGTCAGGTTTCATGTTTTAGTATTTCCAAGTTTAGGTTTTTTGTTGCATTTTAGTTTTTTGTTGTTTTGTAGTAAATAGCTTGCCTTATGTTAACCAGTTCCTGTTCTCCTGCATCATTTGCATTTGGGTGCTCATTCATCTCCACACGATCTGCATCCTGCAGGTCTTGACAGTAGACTCCAACCAGAATTGTTTTGCCTTTGAAAATTTTGAGGAGTTTTAGAAATCATGACTGTGAAACTCTTCACAGTCAGCCATCTATTCCCTACCTCAGCAACGTTCCACACAAGCTTCGCCTCAGCAGCCACGCTGTTCTGCAGCCACATCTCCCTCACCAAAGCCCTCAGTAATAAGAAGTGGTTTCCTGAACTTATTGCCAGACCTCAGCGCTCTAGCCTCAACATCACCACAGCAGTGGATGAGTCCCTCCTCTTTACTGCCTCAGCCTGATCACTCATTACTTGCCTCTTTCCTGGCAGGAATGTGGTCGAAGGATCAGGACTCGGCCCCCAATACTCCTTCACCTTCAGCGGTGCTCCTCAACCCACCATCCATGACTCCTCCAGTGTAACCAGCTGTGGTGAGATCAGCTGAGCACCGACCTGACACAGGAGCCTGGGTGCTCAGCCGAGCTGCCCCAGCCTCCACTTCACCGCCTGCTTCAGGAACCAAGCCACTGGGTCCCTCTTTACCTGAGCTTGAGGGACACCCATCACCAGAGCTTGAACCAGAGCTAATGGGTTTCTGTCTGCCTGAGTCCAAGGGGTCATTAGAGTCTGCTTTGTGCCCTGTGCAACCCCAGCCTGCTCCATATTCAGCAGAGGTCTCTGCACTGGCCGGTCCTGCTCCGCTTGAGTCTCTGTCAATGGCCTCCAAACCACCCGAGGGTCCTTGGCCCCATTGTGTCTGTCGCTGGCCACCTGCCAAGCTGTCTGAGCATCTGGCTTGTGTTGTTGGCCACACAGCTGGCCCTCTGAACTGCTTAGTGTATTCTGCTAGCCAAGCGGCTTAATTCTAGAACTGCTAGTTCTTTGTTTTGGACTCTCCTGTAATAGACAAAAAGCTACTTTTTGTCTATTACCATTACCCATGGGGTAAGCTGTAGAAATATAGGTTTTAGAAGCAAGCATCCCTGTGGCATAGATTTGTCTGCTGCTTCAAAAAAAAATTATATCAAATTAGCCGAACATGGTATAAAGTCCCTGCCCATTGAATCTATTTGGGTCAGGGAACTGGGAGAACTACAGGTTAATATAGACTGGGATACAGTGTGGTCTAATCTGAGAACCTGGCGCATCAATTAATTCATTTCAAAACCATACACAGAACATACATTACACCCTATAGGAGGTTCCAGATGAAACTACAGGCTACGTATCGCTGTCACATCTGCAATGATTCATCACCTGGCACGTTTTTGCACTTGTTTTGGGACTGCCCTGTTGTATCCAATTTTTGGGTCTTTGTGAACTCTGTGTTATCTGAGGTACTGGAAGTTTTTTATGTTCCCAATCCTGGTCTTTGTCTCCTTAATGATACCTC